GGTGGAGGGTGGTGTTTTGGGCTCTTTGATAAAAAATACATATGTGGGCCTACTTTTGACATTATTTCTAAGCCTTAATTGAAACCTCTAAATTGTCATATTTTTGGGAGATTTTCCCTGTTCTGCTGAAATAATTAAGAAAAATAAATTTATATTATGAAAATCCTGGCAGTATAATTAACAATACATAGCCAAAGCCTAGGACTATACTAAAATAATATAACATAATAAAACATACAACTTTATAACACAAGCTAACAATAACAGATGTTGTCATTTAAGCTGTTCAGCCAACCACGGATAATCTCAAATCACCAATGTGATTGGTCACTTTATCCATGTTTATCACTGAAGGCCATGGAAATTAACAAAGGTGCATTTTTGAATGTTATCAGTAACTGAAATTTGTTAGTGGATTAGATCTCTTTCTCAGTGCACATTCATGATGATAAAACTGCAGGCATAACCATACATTCTGAAGTATTTCAGCAGTACCAATAGGTAAGAATTGTTTTTATATTAATATTCATTTAATGTTGTTTAAATTGGCGCATTTAGGCTTAGTATAATGCATCTTTTAAGTCAAAAATTGAATTGGTTTGGATTGGTTGGATCTCTAGGCATATTTTTAGGAGCCTAGGGCTAGGGAATAACAAGCATGCTATGATTCTCTGAGTCTAGCCTAGGCCTGTTAATAAGAAAAGACAAAACTGAGGATATGCCAAAGAGGGCTAGGCTCAGCCTGCCCTATAATGGAAGTATTGGAGTGTGGTAAATTGGGCTGTGTTCTCACTTATTTATTATTGTAAAAAAAAAGTCCATGATATGATTATTTTAATGATTTTTATAGAGGTAGGCTTAGGCCTCTATAGGCTAGGCCTATGCTACTGGTATTATTATCATTATTACCAACAACTCCCTCGTATTTACAACAATTTGCATTGATCTGTTAAATGCTTCTAATTTATGTGAACAAATTAAGATTTCTTTCTGGTAAATTAATGTTACAGAACAGAATAAACATTTTTTTTCTCAATTTCTAATTCACGGCAGCAGGTGAGCTAACTAATCAAAAATAAATTTTATTTTTATTTTAAATCCTTACTTTCGTCGACAGTGGGTTTGCAAAACAAAATATCAAAAAATCATTATATGTTGACTTTCTTTCAGAATTTGTTGGTAAAGGAATTTTTCTCAGTGAAAACTCATGAAGTAAGAAAGCGTTGATGTTTGTTTAAAGCCTTAATGCGGCAGTTGGAGAAACAGGAAATTACCTGACTTTCAAAGGTGAATAATTTTTTTTAAGTTTCAAGTTTTTAATACTTTAAATATAGGAACTCACTAGTACTAATGGTGGAGGTTATCAATTAATCAATAATGTGTGTGTAAGGCCTACTGCATAAAGAATATTAACATTGTAAGTATATTGCACAATATTTTAATGCTTTTTAAAACTAAGAAAAAAAGGATGGAACAACTAATTACCCGACTTATGATTAAGAAGTGTGTTAGTCTCTTATTTCAGCTACCGCATATCATACTCTTATTTTAATACATTCATGTTGAAGGAAAATACAAAATTTAAAATGTGGGTAGAAAATTTTAAGATACATTTTCAATACTAATTAATTACTTGCCTTAAAGACACAAACGGCAAAATCTGTTTAATTATTATGATTTAAAATTTTTAAACAATTAGAGCATTAATAATATTCCAACTGTTAGTTCTTGGTTATTTTGCCCAGCCCCTCAATTCTTTATTCTGACCTAGTGTATGTATTATTATGATTTTTCATGACTCACTTTTTTTTTCCAAAAAAGAGTTTCAAAATGCACAAGACAACTGTATGTATCACTTTGCTCTGATTAAAAGAATTGTTTTGTTATATCTTTCAGCATGTGAAGCAAGGGTGAAAATCCGAAGCCATCTTGATTCAATATTTCAAACTTAGTTTGGTCACTCTGCAGAATCTACAATGGCATCTTTCAGCAAGATTTTAAATTTACTCTGCTACTGTACCATTGGACAAGAAAAAGCATGGATATAGACAGCTCCAGCTTCAATATCATACAGAAAATTTCTAGTTTATACACACCTGTAACGCGACAGATTCTTGAACAGGGTTTTGTATAATAAACTCTAGTTGACGCCTTAATATAAATTAC